GTATACACCTTACATACATCTGTGTCCCCATCTCTGATTACGTCCCCAATATGGATTCCTAGAAATGGAATTACTAAGTCAGATGGGAGGAATGTTTTTAAGGTTATTAATGGATGTTGTCAAATTACTTTCCTGAAAAGTATAATCAATCCATGGCAGATTTAATTAGTAATTGCACAGTGATGCAGTTTGGAGCAGATCGCCTGTCCCTCCGGCTAAGGGTGGAGGAGCGGGCTCCTCGAGTCTTTTCCCAGCCCTGAGAGGTGGGAGAGAGCCCACTGTCCCTACTGCCTTCCCTGGGGCACTTCGCTGGCAACATTGGTGACAGTCCCTGCGTCAGACAGGAGGACATTCCCAGGGGAGCTAAGGCGTGTGGTTTCTCAGGCCCTGTGTTTCCATCTGACCCCTTGGTGAGCTCTGATTTGGACTTCACCCCTGGCTCAGGACATCCTACGGGGTCACTCACCTGGACCATCATCAGTTCCCAGCCTGAAGGGCACTAGGATGGATTCAGGAGACCACACCTTGTTCTCCTGTGTTAATTAATGATGTCCCTGGCTATGGCTATTTTCTGGCCTGAATGATCATTTCACTAATTTATTTATTTTAATATTATTTTTTTTGAGACAGGGTCTCACTTTGTCACCCAGGCTAGAGTGCAGTGGCACAAGCACAGCTCACTGCAGCCTCAATCTCCTGGGCTCAAGCGATCCTCTCGCCTCAGCCCCCCAAGTAGCTGGGACTACAGGTGTGTGCTACCACACCCGGCTAATTGTTGTGTGTTTTTTGTAGAGATGAGGTTTTGCTGTGTTACCCAGGATGGTCTTGAACTCCTGAGCTCAAGCAATCCACCTACCTCAGCCTCCAAAGTGCTAGGATTATAGGCATAAGCCACCACACCAGCCCAGTTCACTAATGTATGGCTTATGTGTATAGTAAAGTTACACAAAGCTTTTTTACATATATTTTGCCCCCACACTAACTGGAGGGTAGTCCATCCGTCCAATAATGATTTATTGTTGAGCCTTCTGCTCTGGGCCAAGGCAGTGCCCAGGTACTAGGAGAGGCCCCTGGCACTCACGGAGTTTCTCATCTGCGCACTTTCCTTCCTTCAGAGGTGAGAGCTGCCCGGGCAGACCAACGCTGAGAGAGTGGTGCTCCTCACTCTCCTCTTTTCCCCAGGTCTGGTCTCTGATCCAGCTGGCGCGCAGATACCTGCAGAAGGGCTACACCACACTGCTGTTCCAGGAGGGGGATTTCTACTGCTCCTACTTCCTGTGGTTCGAGAATGACATGGTAGGTGAGGCTGAGTCCCTGGGCCAGGACAGTCTGCACACACTTCCCACTCTGAAACTCTTGGATTCATTTCTTCTGAATTGTTGTCTGTCTGTCTCATCTTCTCTTCTTGTTGCTGGTAAGCCCAGCAGGTTGGGACCCAGAGCTCAGAGGTCACAATTTCACGTGGGCATTTAACTGCTTTGTGAGCCCTCTGCCCAGCTGTCTGGCAAACTCTTGCCATTGTCCACGTGGCATCCAGGCACACATGTGAGCAGATAGGCACACGCCCCACTGTGGGAAACGCGACTCAGATCATACACTTTGTCGCTGGTGCTTCCATGTCGTCAGCATCACATGCCAAGCATAGCACACGGTCATCCCTGTGGCATGGGCCCCTGAACTCAACAGCATAGGCCCTGCTTGAAGCAGTGAGCCAGGCCACCCAAGGAGACCCTGGCCTCCTGGCCCTACCTGCTTCTTCTGGGCCTCACTGTTACTGCAGAGTAGGCTCCGGTGAGGGGAACTTACTGTCTGTGGCCACCTGCCCCTCTCCTCCTGTCTCTCCCTCCTCTCTGTCTCTTGCCGTTCTTTGCTTTCCTCCTGTCTCTCTTTTATTTGCATCTCGTTTGTCACCAGGAATGGTTGTTCCAGCTCTCAGGAGCATTCCTCCTCCCTCGCAGCCCTTGGTCTCTGGGTCCCTGAACTACTGTGCCTTCCCCTGCACCCACCCTGCACTCTCTTTGTTCACTGAGGGTGACAGCCATCCCTTTCCATAGGGCAGGGTGGTTACTGGCGCCCTCTGCCGCTGTTCTCTCAGTCATCCCTCACAGCCTTGTGCGGTGGCTGGGGCAGGGATCCCTGACCCCATTGTACAGATGGAGACACGACGATCTAGAGATCAGACGCCATGGCCAGGGCCACCGAGGTTGTTAAGTGAGGAAGCCGCAGCCCAACCTCTGCTCCCCCAGCCTGCAGGCTCCCAGCGTTCCTCTGTGCCCCTGGAAGTGCCCAGGACTTGTGTACAACAGAAGTACTAGAAAATTCCTGTGACTTTTACCTTCACTTCTAGGGAGGGACAGGAGTCTGTGTGCTTGGGTGGCCCTGTGGGGTAATACAGTGAGGCAGAGCTGTGAGCTGGAGAGGCCAGGTTTGAATGTCAGCCACACAGCCCAGCTGGTGCCACGGGGGCAGCCCTGCACACTGCAGAGTCCACTCCCCCTGCATGGCAGGCCACGGTGCCCACACAAGCATCAGCTAATCGCCATGTTCATGCCTGGCACACAGGGCACGTCCAGCAGATCTTAATTCCCTTCCCACCTTATCCCACGCTGGGAATTCCCAGTTCTTTCAAAGCAGAGGCTTAGGCCTTTTGTGAATGCTCTGCTCTTCAAGACCCTGAATGACAGCCCTGCAGGTTGCCCTCCTGAGCATGTGTGTGGCCTGTGCAGGTCTAGGTATTGATGGGAATGAGAGCTACCCTGCCGGCCCTTGGAACTTTGTATACTTTGTCTCTAATGTTCATAAGGCGACTGTTGTTATTCTGACTTCAAAGATGAAAAACCAAGGTCCAAGCATTTTCCCAAGCACCCAGCACACAAGGCAGAGCCAAGCCAGGCTGCAAGCCCGGTGCGTCTGACTCAGGCCCGTGTGCTCCCCCGACACCCACTGCCTCCCTGTCCTCCTTCCTCAGGGGTACAAACTCCAGATGATCGAGGTGCCCGTCCTCTCCGACGACTCAGTGCCTATTGGCATGCTGGGAGGAGACTACTACAGGTGACGGCGCGTCGGGAGCCGCTGGGGACAGACGCTCCTGTGTGGGTGATAAGTACTCGCCTCTGCCGGGAGCGGCTTCTGCTTCAGCAGTGCCCTACCCCGGACCCAGAAATCCATACTGGGAATACCTTCCCAGCTGGGCCTGTGTGCAGTGAGGGAGGATGGGTGTGGAGGGCACTTCTGTGTTCCTACCACCTTCCTGCTGGCATGTTCTTGGCAGCACGGGAAACGTCTGCGCCTGGCCCAGAACATCCCCACTGCTGCCTCGTAGCCAGGATGGCACTGTTAGGTCAGTGAGGAACAGGAGCAGGTGTCAAGGCCCACGTGCAGGGGCCTAGTGAGATGACCGAGGACATGGGCATTTGCTCGCGAGGGCCCAGAGAGGCCTCTGGCACTGGAGGAGGGCAACAGCCTCGCTCCTGAATCCTATCCTCCCTTTCCTCCCCAGGAAGCTCCTGCGCTACTACAGCAAGAACCGCCCGGCCGAGGCTGTCAGGTGCTACGAGCTGCTGGCCCTGCACCTGTCTGTCATCCCCACTGACCTGCTGGTGCAGCAGGCCGGCCAGCTGGCCCGGCGCCTCTGGGAGGCCTCCCGTATCCCCCTGCTCTAGGCCAAGGTGGCTGCAGTCTGCCTTTGCACCCCGTCCTCCAGCTGCTCTTGCTTGCCACTGTTCCCCATGGCAAGAGCCTGCTGTCTGCAGTAGCCGTCCTGAGGATGGGGCAGAGTGCCCAGGGTGGCCCCAGGGTTTCTAAAACCCACCTAGACCACCCTCCACGTGGGATATGTGCAAGGCCCCAGATCCTTCTCTCTGGAGGAAGAGGGAAACCCAGGGGTCCGGTTTGTCTTCGTAAAACAAAAGTGGCAGCAGCTCCTCTTCCAGAGCTGCCTCTGCCTTATCCTGGGAGATGGGGAGGGAGCCCACCCGGCAAGCTCTCTCCTACCCCAGGTAAAAGGTGCTCCTTTGCCTGGGTCTGAATTCCAGCCCTGCCACTTCCTCTCTGCATCTCCCAGAAAGTTTCTTCTGTTCCTCACATTTAAAGCAATGGCACCTCCCTCTCAGGGTGGTGTGAGGATTACCCAATGCGGTAGGTGCTCAATAAATGTTGGTCATTGTTATCACTGAAGCTCAACACGCCTGTGCTTCTAGACCCTTCTGTCGTGCCAATAAGCCCTTGCTAAGTCCCAGCCCCTTCACGCTCGGCTGGCGTCTGCCCTGGGGCTGGGGTTCTCAAGCCCCTGGCCCTGGCCCAGAGATATGGATTCCGTTGGTGGCCGTGGAGCCCAGGCTTTGATGTCTTTCAAAGCTTCCGTGGTGCGCCCTGGATTGAGAACCACCACCCAAGGGGTACAGCCCCTCTCTTCCAACCGAGAAGTTCCTGTCCCAGAATGGACCCAAGGACAAGAGATCCTGAGAGCCCTGGGACTGGGAGCATCTGCTCATCTGAGGCCAGGAGGCTGGTGCTGGGCCAGAGAGGGTGGCGTGGCAGAAATCAGCGTCTACCGCAGCACAGGAACAGATGGCCCTGTGCTGTGCATGCGGGAGCCGCGCCTTCTGTGTCTTCAGTCTCAAGCCAAAATTCGCGCAGACTGGTCTCTCCCTTGCAGGGGACAGCTTTGGGGAGGCGTTGGGGGAGCTTGAACCCACACGTTAGTCTAAACCCGGAGAAGGAGGCAGTGAGGAAGTGTCCCCTCAGGTGACTGGATCTGTGTTCCTCCTTATCATCATCTGATGGAATGGCAATGAAAAGCATGGATTGTGGAAAATACAGAAAAGCATAAAGGAAAAAACTCCAATCCTCTGAGCCCACCGGTGTTCAGGACACCTGCTTTTGTCGCCTACTATTTCCCTTTAGTTTTTAGCAGTGGCTGGATGTGATATGTCTAGTTTAACCAGTCTCCTTGATCTTTCTATATAATAAATAACACAGGGGTGGACATCCTGAATCAGATCTTAGCAGAGATGCTCACATGCGGGGTAACTGTCCATGGTGTGTGGAGGGGTCCTCGGAACCCCCTCTTAGGATCATCTCCACATACTCTCCCAGTTCTGAGATTCGTTACCAACAGCAGGTTTCCTTCGCACTGCCGTGTCAGAGCAGCGCGGGAACTCTCCGCTCCGCTGCGAGGGGCTTTCTCCTCCTAGGGAACACCCTGCTAAGTAATGGACAGAGAACAAAGGGGCTCCTCATTCAAGGCAGGCCTAAGGGAGGGTCAGAAAGAACTTTAGCTGGAGGTATTTACCGATGTGACCTCCAATCCTTGGGGATTCTGGGAAAATGGACAAAGTGCCAAAAGAAGAGAACCTAGAGAATTACAGACAGTGAACTTGCCCCTAAGCCCTCATTGAGGGGTGTGTTTGAGCATTTAGGAGAGGACTCCAGTGCTCCTCAACGACAAACACAGCTGCCTTTGTGGTGTCTGAAGGCCCTGGTCATGGTAACACTAGATGGCTGCCCTGGGCGCCTCCTGTGGGTGTAGAGGCATCACCACTCTGCACTGGCAGACTCAGCATGGAGTCGGAGCAGAGTCTGACACGAGCACTTGCCATCCCAGGCATTTCAGTTCTGACTGAGAAGGGAGCCGCACAGGGGAGGAGAGGGCCCTTTGGAGCTCCACTCTGCCTCCACCACTCCCTAACCCCTCAGCCTCAGTGCCCTCATCTGTAAAATGGGGAGTTTTGCCTACAGAGTTCAGCACAGTGCCAGCCTGACATGGGAACCCCAGTGGATTATCAGTTTTGTCATCATTCCCCTGCATCCTGGAGGTGACACCGCCTGGTTAATAGGCATCCCCTCCGGATGGCCCAGCACAGCTGCAGAGCAGCAGGAGGCTGGCCTGTGGCCAAGAATGCACGGTGGAGGAGGGCTGGAGGGGGACTGCAGCTCCTCCTCTTCCTGCTTCCTCCCTGCTCCACCCCCTGCCTCGGGCAGCACAAAAGCAAATCTCTGGCTAACTCCCTGCCTAGCAAGGCCCAGCCTGGGGCAGAAATGGCTGCAAGTGGCCGAGGTCTCTGCAGGGCTGTGGCTGCCTCTCCCTTCCCAGCTTGGAGACGAGCTCACACAGAAGCCGGGGGAGGTCTGAAGCCTGAGTATGATGCGGTGGTGATAGGAGCAGGTAAAGTGGTAAAGCAGGCTGGGCCAGAGCTGAGGGGCGGGAAGGCAGCCCTGCTCAGAGCTTGGCGGGGAGGGGGAGGCTTTGCCAAGCCCCACTGCTCTCTCCTCGGGCATAACCCGCCAGAAGTTTATACACTAGCAGGGGCTGCAGCGGAAAGCCCTTCCATCTGGCAGGCAGGCACCCGGGATTCCGGGGCTGGCTCTGCTGTGTGGCCTGGGGCAAATGCTTGCCTTCTCTGGGCTTGGATCTTCCGTGGAGAATGACGAAGGAAGACTAGGTGAGCTCAGGGGTTTCCCTCTATCTCCTGCAAAATGACCTAGTTTCCACCACATTCTCAGCCTGTGGTTTGTAAGGGTTGGAACTAGCTCTGGGTCAACAGACAAGTGAAGTCCAGCACCCTCCCCCCACCTCCCCCCCAGTGCCGTGAGTTCTGGTCACCACTGCCTTACCACTGAGGCCACCCATCCTCACAAGAAACTGCAGTCATTTCATAAAGGCCAGTTAGGATAAAACAGAACTGAGTTCTGGAGTTCCTACTGCGTGTCTGCAGAGGGCAGTGGCCCCCATTGCCGTGCAGCTCTGGGACATTTGTGAATCTGCAGTGATCCTACCATACTTTGCCAACCCCTGGGCTCAAGAGTATCAAAGTCTACTGTGTGCTAGGGGAAGAGGCAGGCCCAGGACCAGGTGGTTCTTCCTTAGTGCCTTCCATTCACACTTGCAGAGGGCCCCAAATGCATGATTGCCAGCTAGGGCTTACAGAGATAATGACAGGGACCGAAAGCAGACGGCACTCATTATGCAGCTTTGAAGGCATGTCTTCATTTTCCTATGTACTAGAGCAGTTGTGAGCTGGTAGATACTCAACAGTCACCTCTCCAGGAGAAAATGTGCGGTGTGTGTGTGTGTGTGTGTGTATATATACACATACATATATACACACACACGTATATACAACACACGTATGTATATATGTATACATATATGTGTATATATACATATGTAGACACACACATGCTTATTTTAAATATTGAAATAAAAGATACACTGCACACAATTTTACAAATAAAAATACAATACTCTCAATTTAAATGCAGTCTAGCCAAGTGATTCTTACCAAAGGCTTTCTTTGATTTTTGCCAAACTCAGTAGCCAACTTATAGTTGCAACTGACAAATGAGGGTAGCTCCGAAGAGAATGGTGCTCCATATTTTCTGTAAAGAGTAGGACGATCGTGAAACAGCAAAGATTTCTATCCCAGCCTTTCTCCTTATTTTTTAAATTTATTTTTATTTAATTAATTTTTTTTTTTTTTTTTGAGACAGAGTCTCGCTCTGTCACCCAGGCTGGAGTGCAGTGACACAATCTTAGCTCACTGCAACCTCCGCCTCCTGGCTTCAAGTGATTCTCCTGCCTCAGCCTCCTGAGTAGCTGAGATTACAGGCACCCGCCACCACGCCCAGCTAATTTTTGTATTTTCAGTAGAGTCCGGGTGTCACCATGTTGGCCAGGCTGGTGTCGAACTCCTGACCTTGTGATCCACCCGCCTCAGCCTCCCAAAGTGCTGGGATTACAGGCGTGAGCCACCGCTCCCGGTCTCCTTCTTTAAATGACAGGAATGATGTTACTCAAATAAGATAATTTTTTTTAATACTAGAATTTCCTTGAATTTTTATGCTATTCACGCTGTAACAGCTAATGCTGTTAGGTTTAATTTGCATTATTAGCATTTTCCCATCGCTTTCTTAAGCCTGACCACAGAACAATAAATTCAGCCTTCCTGTGTAATATTTGCTGATGACGGTGGTGGGAATACTCCCACCATGGCCTTTTTTGTCACCAAGATGAGGTTGCTGAATGTGATTTGGGAGTAATACCCAGTGGCACATCATTGTATAGCATGTCCACCATGCAGATATGTACCTAGAGGCCAATGACGGCAAAGGCATGGGGAACAGACAAATGTAGTAAAACAAATAGGAAGTAGTGTGTTTGGAGTATTCATTACCTTTGTTTTTAATATCATTTATTTAATTCTAAGCTTATGTACTTTAGTTTCTAACAATGGCTATTTGACATCCGGCTCACAAACTCCCTGGGCTGGTGGGAGACAGCTCCAGCGCCTCGCTTAGCCTCAGAGAAGCCCCCGCCTTCTTCCGTGCTTGGCCACAGCTCACCATGCTGTCTCCTAATGGGGAAGGTTGACTCTAGGTCACCAGCTGCCTTGGTGACTTGCCTACAAGTGCGAGTGAGTCTCAGTGTGTGAGCTTTTCCTTGACATGATTTCTTTAGTTGCTAAACATACCATGAAGCCTGGTTTAAAGGCATCTTGGGCCTGAGTAAGGAACAGAGTGGCATATTCTGAGACAAGGGTTACCTCCTGAGTCCCCAAAGGCACACTGGCACCTGGCCGCCACCTTGAAGATGACTCTGATTTAGTCATTTGACTAAATGTGCCTGAGAGTGACTGAGGAGCTTGTTAAAATGGACATTCCTGGCCCCGTACCTGGTGATGAGCATTCTGAGGGCAGGAGGTGACTCCCGGAGGTCAGCACATCCACCCAACCAACCCTGCCTGATGCAGGCAGCTGCAGAGCCCACGCCCAGAGCAGCTTCTCAAGGGCCCAGGCGGCTGCTGTGGGGCCCCTGAGGCAGGTCTGGGGATTAGCAGAGCCCGCAGCTGAAGTCCTCTTCAAGGAAACAGAGGTGTCACCAGAAGCCAAGGAGGGCTCAGCCAGACTTGGGGGTGGCCACTGGGAGGGGGTCTTGTGCTTTGGATCCTTTACCTTACTTATTTGAGGTCTGCCGTGATTGAACTGGACCCAGTTGCCTGGAAAACTATGAGTTTTCCAAGACTGACCATCAGCACCATAAAAGACAAATAGCTCCCATTTATCTCATCCTTGCCGCGCTGCAGGGTCCCTGGCACCCTCTGTTCCCCACGTGAAGAAGCTCAAGGCTCAGGGCAGCTGACAACTCTCTGAGGTCACGCCCTGGCAAACAGCAGAGGCTGGGCTGAGCCCAGGACTGTCTCCCTTTAGTTTGTTGCATGTCTTTGAGACAGGTTCCATCTGCTCATGAGTCCCAGCTGGCAGACTGTTTAAACTTTCTTATGAACATTTTCAAAAGCCCATACAAATAAAGAGTATGTCAAGCAGCACTTTTTAAGATGAACTATAACCAACTAGCTTCTCACGTGCTTCTCATGTGGTCAGAGTTAATTTTAGCTCATGAAACTCTTGGTTCTGTGAAACACCTGCTGAATAGACTCCTGGTAGGGGGGTCTGGGAGTCGACATTTACACAGCCTCCCAGGTAATTCTGAGCTTATCAGAGCGGAGAGGCACTTGTTACCCAGGGCCTTGGTGTGGAACATGAGATGCCAAGGCCAAATTCAGGCCTCTCAGCCAAGGCACCCTGAAGCACAGCCAGTCACTCCAGCACATGTTGAAGCTGTACATGTTTACTTCATGTCGAACTGTTCACATTTTATTTTTGGAACACTGGGGATTGGCAAAAACAAACCCATGTGAATGAAGCCTCCTAGGGCACCATTGTGCCGATTGTGAACCACATGTGGGCAAAACAAGCCACACTTGACAGCAGCTACCCACATGACCAGCACTCCCCTGGATGCTGATGCTGCCATGCGAGATGGGATGTTGGCGCAGCAGCATGCAGCCACCCATTGCTTCTCCTGCTTGCCAAGTCAGCCGTGCTGCTCCCTCAGATACCATCACCTGCACCTCCCAAGCATCAGCCCCTCACTCCAGCAGAGCCCCTGACCAAGCCAGGGGAGCAGGACTTTTCCAGCCAGGGCAAGAACCAGGTTTTTCTGACTCCTTGAAGATCTGGTGTTTCATGGGGTTGAGCTAGCTGCTGTTCCAACATCTGAGTGCGGGAAGGGGAGGGGAGGGTCACTGGATCTTCATGGCATGGGGACAGGGAGCAGTGAGCACATTCCTCAAGGACTGTCCGTCTGCCCGCCAGCTGACCAGTGATGCTTTCCTTTCCTCTCCTTTTTCTTGTTGCAGGACACAACGGACTGGTGGCTGTGAGTACCTCCCCAGTTGATCCCACTTCACTGGCCCCTGGGCATGTGGCTCTCAGCAGCCTGGGAAGGAGAGTGAAGAAGCAGGTGGGATAAGGGTCTCGAGAGAGAAGGAAAAGGCAGCCTAGTCGACACTCTGCTCTCCCACGCTGACCGGGGGCTGGGTCGAATGCACATCTGCAGCCAGCTGAGGACATCACAGGCTGCTTTCCTCCCCTTCCCCTAATGGGGAAAGGTGGTTTCCCCATGGCCGGGGAGGGAGTCAGGGAGCTTCCAGAAACAAGCTGACAAGGCGGGGAAGCATGTAACCAACATAGCATGGGAGCAGGTGGGAAGCAGGGGATTGGGCACCCAGGGCAGGGTGGGGGCCCTTGACTCCAGATCATAGGCAGCCCTTGTGTCTAGAGCCCTGTGCTCCCAGCCAGGTCCAGGCCACGTACCACCTTGGAGTACATAGCCGCTATGTGGCCAAAGTGTGCCCTGGATACATTGAGGAGCTCAGCCTAGCAGAAGGGCCAGCGCCCCGTCCCCAGCACAACTGACTTCAAGATCCCAAGCTGAGCTGGGTGGCCCAGAGCTATCCTTAGCCTATGCTTCTGTAACCTGAGTCTAGATACCTCCAGGAGGCCATAAAAGGTATTCAAACCACAAAACAAACATGGAACATCTTCTTGAAGCAGCGGCAGCCCTAGAATATCAATATGGGGGGAACTGTGGATGTGCTAACGGACTGATGTTAAACCTTAATACTTTGCCTGGTGTCTTAAGTTTTACCTGAACATTTTATGTGGGGCATTTTGTAACTCAATGGATCAGTAATTTAAAACATTTATTTTATTTTATTTTATTTTATTTTATTTTATTTTATTTTTATTTTTTTTCGAGATGGAGTTTTGCTTTGTCGCCCAGGCTGGAGTGCAATGGCACGATCTCGGCTCACTGCAACCTCCACCTCCCGGGTTCAAGCAATTCTCCTGCTTCAGCCTCCTGAGTAGCTGGGATTTCAGGCGCCCACCACTAAACCTGGCTAATTTTTGTATTTTTAGTAGAGATAGGGTTTCACCCTGTTGGCCAGGCTGATCTCGAACTCCTGACCTCAGGTGGCCTGCCTGCCTCAGCCTCTGAAAGTACTGAGATTACAGGCATAAACCACCATGCCCGGCCTAATTTTATATTAGTATAGGCCTGATTTTATATTAATATAAACAAAGATTCATCTTCCAGCTCTGCCACTTTGTGAAGGTTAAGGTGAGTCACTTAGCCTCTCCAAGTCACTGTCAAATGGAACAATGGCACCTGCCCTCACAGAGCTGCTGTGAAGGTAATGGATCATTTGCTGCTAGGACCTGTCACATGCAAGTGGTGGCTGTTATTATTGGAAGTTTCCAGGCCAAGGAAGCCTGGCATCCATCCCCTTCACCCAAGCCCACCAGGAACACATGTGTAGTTAGTCTAGTTGGGTTTCTTGCTCCTTGCAACGAGGGGACTTACATCAGGGGAACCTCGGGTTGCCTCAGTAGGAAGGTGTTAGAAAGAACCAGCACAGGATTTGAGCTTTGGTTGATTCGAGGGAAGGCCTAAGGAAATAGGGATTGCCATAGAATAGATACTCTCAGGAAGGAGGGACAGCCCTGCAACTGGGCAGCTCAAGAAATCTGATCTGTAGGGAGGAGAGAGATGTGTGCGGAGAGCAGTAATTGATACAGAAGTAGCAGTCACTCATTTCAGCCAAGAGGGGTGTTGGGTATTTTCTCGATGGCACTGAAACATTGCTTTTGTTTGTGCTTGCCTCATTTTATCATAGTCTTATAGAAACCTTGTTTGGGGTTGTCCATCTGTGAGATTGTTCCTGTGTAATAGGAGATGCAGCTTACCTTGCGTGCCAGGCCTCAGCCACTGAGTGACGGCTGCTGTTTCTTTCTCAGTAGGATATGTTAGGAGGATAGACGCTGGTTTCACACTGTCTCGTTTCAATTCCGAAGACCTCTGCTCATCAGCTCTGTGAGCCTGAGGCAAGCCGTTAACCTTATTGAGCCTCAGTTTTCTCATCTGTAAAATGGGAGAATCATAGTACCTGCCTCTTGGCTGGTGGGAAAAATTAAATAAGACAATGTACTCACTGTTTCTGGCACATAATAGTTGCCAAGGGAGCTTTTTGAAAAGTCTGACTTTTGCATGGCACCATTCCTGTGGTCACAGGGCCAGCATTTTAGATCGGTAGATTCATGACCAGTTTGGTTCAACAGATATTTATTGATTTTTCCACTAAGTGCTAGAAAAAAATTAATAGAAATCCTTGCATCATTTGTTCTCCCAAAATAAAGCGCTGCTATGAGCAGCTTCATTTACTGAGCACATTCTCTGTGCCAGGGACCACTTAAAGCCCTGTCTAGGGACCAGCTCAGTTCATCTTCACAGCAGCCTTATGAAGTGGGTAAAGCCAGGACTATTTTCATCAGCCCTATTATTGCATGTGAACAAACAGGCCAGGCGGATCAGGTACTGGGGCTGCAGCAGCAGAGAGAGAACGAGGGGCTGAACCTGGGCAGAAGAGTCAGCCTTCACAAGTTTCACCTCTCTGTGCTGCACTTGTAGGAGGAATGAGGCTTGTGCCCTGCCTGAAGGAGAGGAACATCCCAGGGCAGGGTGGCAGGAAGCAGCGTGAGACCCCGAGGCACCAGGCCTCTGAGGAGGGAAGACCGCCTTCAGTTGGGAAGTGGAGGGGCGGGAGCAGGCCTGTTGGATCTTAGAGGACATCTAGGAAAGGCAAGAGTGGAAGGGGAAGCACAGGGAAGGGCATTCCCAGAGGCGGGAACAGCATGAGCAGGGTGGGGAGGCCGTGGGGTGTGGGGCATAGTGGCCTATAGTGAGGACCTTAGTCTGCGGGCCAGCCCGAGGGAGCCCTGCATTTCAGAGGGATAAAGGGAGGGCCCTGTGTGCTGCCCCACTTCCCAGGCAGCGTACCTGCAGAGACTGGGGGTGAACACCGCGGTCTTCGAGAGGCGCCATGTGATCGGGGGTGCAGCTGTCACTGAGGAGATCGTCCCAGGTGAGCTCTGATGTGGCATCGGGGAGTGAAGGGCAGTGACCCGGGGACAGTCTTCATCCTCTTCATCCCCGCTGACCCCCGGGTGACAGTCCTCATCCCCGCTGACCCCCGGTGACGGTCCTCATCCCCGCTGACCCCCCAGTGACGGTCCTCATCCCCCCTGACCCCCGGTGACGGTCCTCATCCCCGCTGACCCCCGGTGATGGACGTCATCCCCCCTGACCCCCGGTGACGGTCCTCATCCCCGCTGACCCCCGGTGATGGACGTCATCCCTGCTGACCCCCGGTGACGGTCCTCATCCCCGCTGACCCCCCGGTGACGGTCCTCATCCCCGCTGACCCCCCGGTGATGGACGTCATCCCCGCTGACCCCCGGTGATGGTCCTCATCCCTGCTGACCCCTGGTGACCGTCTTCATTGGATTTGGTTTCAGGGTTTAAGTTCTCCCGCGCGTCCTACCTGCTCAGCCTCCTGAGGCCGCAGATTTACAATGATCTGGAGCTGAAGGTAGGGCCTCCCCGGCCTGATTGCAGGGAGGGAGGAAGCAGTTCCATCTTCCCAACCTGGGCAGAGACTCCCTGTTCTGTGCCCGAGGTGACGCCCACCCCTGAGGGCTCCCTCTTCCACCCAAGTCTTGTGTATCCCACGTGGTCTCCCTGCTGCCGTTCCCATGGACGGGTTTTGTCTTGTCCATATAGTGTCTTGAAAAGTGGGAAATTTCATCCAAGAATTAGACTTCTTTTGAAGAATGACTTTGTCACCATCAGGCCCCGTGGGACACCTATCTGAAGCCTTGGGTGCCTGAGCTTACAGCTGCCTGGGGACACGAGCCCCATTTCTGCCCTCACTGAACTTGAGAGCTGATTCCCTCTCTTGGGAGCTGGAGCAGGAAGTGGGGCCTGGGGACTTTTCTGGCTCCCGGGCTGTTGGGAAGGTTCCTGGGAGTCTCATCTGGTGCTGTTTGCCTCTCAGTCCACTAACCTTTGTCCGCAACCTTGCCCAACCCTGCCGCCAACCCTTTCACCTTCCTTCACCCCCACTGTCTTATAAACTGCGTCACCACATTCCTGAGGCTGATTGGCTTCTACCTGCTTGGTACCACTGTCACTCACCACTCAGAGAAAAGGGTTCTTAGTGCCATCTGCACAAGCAGCTGCCACTCACGTTGGTGCCATCTTTTTTTTTTTTTTTTTTTTTTTTTTTTGAGACCAGGTCTCGCTCTGTTGCCTGGGCTGGAGTGCAGTGGCATGGTCTCGGCTCACTGCAAGCTCTGCCTCCCGGGTTCACGCCATTCTCCTGCCTCAGCCTCCCGAGTAGCTGGGACTACAGGCGCCCACCACCACGCCCGGCTAATTTTTTGTATTTTTAGTGGACACGGGGTTTCACTGTGTTAGCCAGGATGGTCTCAATCTCCTGACCTCATGATCCACCCGCCTCAGCCTCCCAAAATGCTGGGATTACAGGCGTGAGCCACCGTGCCCGGCCATGTTGGTGCCGTCTTTGCTCTAAATTCAAAATTTTAAGCTAGTGTGATGTCCAGCTGCTGTTCACAGCTCTTTGGCTGCTCTAACTGGTTCATGTAGAGACTTCTTCAAGCCACTGAGACAGAGTATGTGCATCCTGGTACCAGGACTGGATGAAATCTAGCCAGGGATGGGGGTGAGTCGCTGGTCTCCAGTCCAGACCAGACCATAGCAGCAGGCAGTTTGTAAATGCACCACTTATTCATAGTAGCAGATGTTGGGGAACAGGACCCTCCTTTTGGCAAACCTGATCTATGAGACTAAGAATCACAGAATAGACATTTTCACTTGATTATTCTCTTTACTTAAAAAATATTACTCATTTGAAATGGTATTTGTCATAGTGTTCCTTGAACTAGAAGCTCCCAAGTGAATTAAGTAGATGCTTTAACCTCTGCCTTGGGCTGCATTCATAGGAGTACGGTGCTCAGATCAGGGAGAAAGCAGTTCTGCTCTGTGACGCGCAGGACTCACCCCATCTGGAGCACCTTGTTTTAACAGGACATTGAGGGCCTGGAGGGCACTGACAGGAGGGCAACTAAACTATTTCCAGGAATATCCTCTTTCCAAAACTACAATGGAGAGCTTTTACTTTACCAGCATCACATATTGGGCTATGACCTTTAATGTTCTATCTCAGTTGTTCCTCACCTGTAAGTCAAGAGCCATGTTAGAATCAGGGAACTTGAAGTTCAGGGGTTAAATTCACAGAGCTAGAAAGTGATGGAGAATTTGAGCCAAGGTCGGACTGTCTCCTACTCCTTGTTCTTGAGCTATGATGCACTCAGGCCTGTTGGTACCGATACCACCCAGACTCACATGCCTCTAGCTCTTTGTCGTTTGCGGTGAACGTGGTCATAGATGGAGTGTCCCTGGCAGCTCCAGCGGGGTGTGCACAGAGGCTGAGACTGGAGCTGCTGGAAACTGGCCGGCTGCGTCTGCCTCCCTGCTCCACAGCTCACCAGCTGTGTGATTTCGCCATGTGATGCCTTCTCTTCCTCATCTGTAAGATGGGAATGGCAACAACACCTGCCTCCCAAGGCTACATCAGCACAGTCCCTAGTGCACAGAGGGCTCAGTACTTATTGCTATTATTATTACCCCCATTTGGCACTTGAGAAAACTGAGGCTCCAGAAAGACCAATGGCCAGAGACTACTCAATCACCCTGCCACTTATAAGGCTATATCCAATTAGACTGAGCCGCCAACTAAAGTGTGAGGCTTAGCTTTGGCACCGCTGCTCCTCCTCCCCTCCTTGAGCCAAAGCACCCTCCACTGACCCTCTGTGGTCCCCACCAGGGCCTGCCTCCCCATCCTGGGTGTTAGTTTCCACAGCTGTCAATGCAAGCACTGACTTGGATCACCTCCCGGTTCCATCCACCTAGAAAATGAGTTTGCTTTTGCAGCAGTCTCACACTGGGTGATGGAATCCAGGCTGGAAGGGCAGAGCCTTTGCACTGGCAGAGAAGGGGATGTGGAGGGGGCTTTTCATCCCCTTCAGCCATAAGCTACCTTCCCCACCTCCCCCTGGGCCAGCCTTGACCTCATTGCCAGAGGCAACCCCATCCTCCCTCCCGCCTCTCACTGACCTTCTGTGTCTCACTCAGTCTTATTCATTTCGCTCCTGCTTTTCTCCTGGAAATCTCTCTAAGGTAGGGCTCTAACTTGCAGGGCCACAGAGTATGACCTGGGAAACTGCTGGGGAAGCAGAGATTTCCCTGGGGTTCTTGCTCACAGGTCTGATTCGGTGGCAGTGGTGGGGCCCAGAAATAGTCTTTTTGATGGCATTCTCGGGTCATTCTGAGAGAGGAGGCCTCCGGAACACAACTTTGAGAAGCACACCCTTTAAATCTCTTGTACCGACCAGACCCTGCTCTTAGAGAGAGTGACTCATAACTGTAATCTCAGCACTTTGGGAGGCTGAGGTGGGCGGATCACGAGGTCAAGAGATCGAGACCATCCTGACTAACATGGTGAAACCCCGTCTCTACTAAAAATAGAAAAAAAATTAGCCAGGCATGGTGGCGGGTTCCTGTAGTCCCAGCTACTCGGGAGGCTGAGGCAGGAGAATGGCGTGAACCTGAGAGGTGGAGCTTGCAGTGAGCTGAGATCGCACCACTGCACTCCAGCCTGGGTGACAGAGCAAGACTCTATCTCAAAAAAAACAAAAACAAAAAAATCTCTTGTATCTCTGGTCATTTAGACACACATCCTTCACACACACACGCTTTCCAACAGTTTCCACCCATGATAGTTGTCCATGCTGAGTACTCTCATGAGGTAAATAAAAGAAGGGTTTTGCTTTCTTTTTTTTTTTTAAGAAAAAATCTTCATAATCTGAACAAATCTCATGGATATAATCTGATGGTTACTTAACATTCCCCTTCTCATTCAAACTCCACATAATTAAAACCATTGTTAAAAGAAAAACCTTCACCAAATTAAATTTAACAGAGTTTAGTTGAGCAAAGAATGATTCATAAATGGATCAGCCTCCCGAGCCAGAGTATGCTCAAAGTCTCCAGCACAGCCCCGTGGTAGAAGAAGATTTATAGACAGAAAGTGAAAAGTGATGTACAGAAAATGGAAGTGAGGTACAGAAATAGCTGGATTGGATACAGCTCAGCGTTTGTCTTATTTGAACACAGTTTAAACACTTGATCCCCTTTGATTGGCCAAAACTCGGCGATTGACACAGGAGTAGGTTACAGTCTGTTTACACCACCTTCTAGCTTAGAGTTCACTATGAACAGAGAAACCTTTAGGCTGAGCTTATTAAGTATTCGAGGAGGCAGCTTTAAGCTAAATTTGATTTAACACCATTAAGAATGACAGAGCCTCCATTTAGAAGAGAAAGTCCTGGAATCAAATGAAAAGTGATTCATAGTCAATTAGTTATTCTTGGAATAACTTCTGGATTCCTCTTAGGTCCCTGATTTGGGGGGTTATTCATTCATTCAGTCCATGTTTCTGAGTACCTGCTGTGTGCCAGGCGCTGAGAGAAGCCCTTGGGTGTACAGCAGCAAACTGGAAAGGCAAGGACCCTGCTCTTAGGGAGAGAACTTCAGGTAGGGTAAGTGCCAAGAAGAAAAGAAAAGAAGGCAGCATTAGAGAGAGAGTGGAGATTCCAGCCTAGATGGCGACCAGGAAGGACATCTTCCTCAAGGAAGTGACATTTGAGCAGGTTTTCAAATACCAAGAGGTCACCAGCAGCAGCCATGTGGACATCTGAGCAGACGGTCTCCAGTCAGAGGGAAGAGGAGATGGACCCACCCAGGCAGGCGTTAGCAGAGGGCAGGTCAGCGTGGCCAGAGCAGAGGAGTGACAGGCAGAGGGCAGCAGATTGGGGTGGGAGGGGCAGGGGCCAACTCGGGGACTGCATTTTATCCAAGTGCAGCGAGAAGCCAGTGAGGTGTGTGATCAGGAAGTTCACTGCTAGGATTTGTGACTTTACCAAGGTCAGCCCGCCTGCTGGCTGGTGAGGACTCGGCGGAAACAGGAGGGGTCGCATGTGGATCACGAGGCCGCGCTGCCGCGGTTCCCAAAATGGTGGCTTAGAGAGAAGCGCACAGGTTCTGGAGGCAGCCTACGGGATGTCAAGAATGACAAGGAGGCCGGGCGCGGTGGCTCAAGCCTGTAATCCCAGCACTTTGGGAGGCCGAGACGGGCGGATCATGAGGTCAGGAGATCGAGACCATCCTGGATAACCCGGTGAAACTCCGTCTCTACTAAAAAAATACAAAAAACTAGCCGGGCGAGGTGGCGGGCGCCTGTAGTCCCAGCTACTCAGGAGGCTGAGGCAGGAGAATGGCGTGAACCCGGGAGGCGGAGCTTGCAGTGAGCTGAGATCCGGCCACTGTGCTTCAGCCTGGGCGACAGAGTGAGACTCCGTCTCAAAAAAAAAAAAAAAAGAATGACAAGGAGAGAAACTAAGGATGCTTCCTGGGTATGAGAGAGTTCACTACATTAAGAGGAACGAAGCTGGAAGTTTCTCCAGCTTAGAATAAAGAATGTCTCCATCTTAGGGTTAGGAGGGACCCCAGCCGTCTCCTGGCCCCGGCCCCCGCCGGTGTCGGGAACCTCCTCGAGGCACAAAGTGTCCAGAGCTACGGCGAGCCTGCCCGCCTGAAGCGTCTCCAGTGTGGAGCAACTCCAGCGGTAACTGTTGGAAAAGCCTGTTTTTGGTTTCCTCGTCCTTTCCTAAAACCTCTGCTCTCAGATCTCATTTCCCTCCTCCGCGGCCGTACCTTGTCTGCAACCTAGCATTCATTTATTCAGAGTCGACGGAATGCTTATTAACTGCACTGTGTCTGCATGCGGGGGATACAGCAGTGAACAAAATAGACAATGCCCCTGACTTCACAGGGCTCACATTCTACTTGGGGAGACAATGAAAACACTAAATATGTGATTAGCCATGTGGTGACAAGTACTTTGGGGAAAAATATTGCAGGGCAAGGGCGCAGGGAGTGCAGGAGAGGCCTGGCTGATAAGGTGGCATTCCAGCCAAGACCGAGTCGTTGAGGGAGCAGGCCACGGATCTGGAGAAGGAAGCCTCTGGACGGCAGAAACTAGAGGCAGCACAGGCCCCTTTTGCTTTATCTGTGCCTCCTTTGAGGAAGTAGATGTGCTCTTGGAAAGTTCTGTGTGCTAATCAAGTATTTGTAAATCAAATCATATTTTAAATGCATCAAGGGGACTTCCACTTAAAGTGACCCTGGAGTAAATGAGTCTGCAAAGTAAATAAAATGTTCTGATGTGAATAATTTATCTACCTTGTAAGTATAGATTTTCACATAACCATTGCTTGATTGTGTCTTTCTAAATTTAATTATTTATTTCTGAAGTGGGGCAGTTGCAGACTGGTGCTGAGAGCTGGGGCTTTGCAGTTACACAGCTGTGGTTTTGAAACCCAGACCTACCTCCTAAAGTGACCTGGGACAAATTATGTAACTCCTATGAGCCTCTCGTGTTGCTTTTGTACAATGAGGATAGTAAGACAGCCACGTGCCACGTGACAACATGTTGGTCAACGATAGACTATATACAATGGTGGTCCCGTAAGCTTACAATGGAGCTGAAAAAAATTCCTGTCCCCTAGCGATGTCATAGTTGCAGTGCAGCATATTATTCTTGTGTTTGTGGCGATAAGCCTACTGTGCGGCCAGTTGTCAAAAAGTCTAGTACATATAATTATATACAGTACACAATACTTGCTAGTAAATGACTTTGTCACTGGTTAACGTATTTATTATACTATACTTTTTATTATTATTTTAGAATGTATTCGTTTTCCTTATTTAAAAAACTCACTGTCAAACAGCCTCAGGCAGGTCTGTCAGGAGGGATCCAGCAGAAGGCATTGCTCTCTAGAGATGACAGCGCCACGTGTTACTGTCCCTGAAGACCCTGCAGTGGGGCAGGATGTGGAGGTGGAAGGCAGTGACATTGATGATCCTGGCCCCGTGTAGCCCTAGGCTGATGTGTGTGTTTGCGTTTCACTTTTTAGCAAAACAATTTAAAAAGTAAAAAATAAAATAAAATAAAAATTTCAAAAACAGAGAAAAGCTTACAGAATGAGGATATAAAGAAAATAGTTTATATAGCTATACAATGTTTGTGTTTTTAGCCAAGTGTCTTTTTCAAAGAATCAAAAAGGTTTTAAAAATTAAAACGTTTATAAAGTTTAAAAGTTGCAGTAAGCTAACTTACCGAAGAAAATGTTTTAATCAATGTATTGTAGCCTAAGTGTACTGTATTTATAAAGCGTGCAGTAGTGCACAGCAATGTGCTGGGCCTTCAGTCACTCGCCACTCACCCAGAGCAGCTTCCAATCCCGCAGGCTCCATTCATCGTGAGGGCTCTATACGGTATCCTTTTTCTTACCTTTTATGCCATATTCTTAATGTACCTTTTCTATGTTTGGGTTTTTTGTTTTTGTTTTTGTTGTTGTTTTTTGAGACAGAATCTCGCTTTGTCACCCAGGCTGGAGTGCAGTGGTGCAGTCTCACCTCACTGCAACCTCTGCCTTCCAGGTTCAAGCGATTCTCCTGCCTCAGCCTTCCGAGTAGTTGGGACTACAGGTGTGTGCCACCATGCCCGGCTAATTTTTTGTATTCTAAATAGAGATGGGGTTTCACCATATTGGCCAGGCTGGTCTTGAACTCCTGACCTCAGCTGATCTGTGCGCCTTGGACTCCCAAAATGCTGAGATTACAGGCATGAGCCACTGCTCCCAGCCTAGATATGTTTAGATACCCAAATACCATTGTATTACAGTTGCCTCCGGGATTCAGTGCAGTAACATGCTGTGCAGGTTTGCAGCAATAGGCTACACCGCACAGCCTATGTGTGGTAGGCTATCAGATCTAGGTTTGTGTAGGTACACTCTGTGATGCTCAAACTACGACAAAGTTGCCTGACAATGCATTTCTTGGAACATATCCCCATCGTTAAGTGATGCAAGACAGTACTTACGAAGTTGTTGTGAGGTAGCCATTGTAAACCCTAGTACAGTCCCTGGCATGGAAGGTGTGTGCCGTGGTGTGATGTGGTATGATGTGGCATGGCGTAGTGTGGTGTGATATGACATGGTATAGTATCGTAGGGTGTGGTAGGGTGTGGTATGGCATGGTGTGTGTGGTGTGATGTGATGTAGTGTGGTATGGCATGATGTGGCATGGCGTGGTGCTGTATGGCATGGTATGGTATGTATGGTATGGTATAGAATGGTATAGTGTACTGTGCTGTGATACAGTATTGTCTACCATAGGGTACTTGGGCAAGAGGGCTTTCTTTAAACTATATTTAAAAACAGACACCAGGACCATACACTTGGGAATCTACACACAGGTACCTATATGGTCACACAAACACAACTGGAGAAAAAGATGACGGGCAGAGACCACAGAGCCATTAATTTGTTGCCATGCTGTTTGTGTTCTGCAGAAACATGGGCTGAGGCTTCATCTTCGAAACCCCTACTCCTTCACCCCCATGCTGGAAGAGGGTGCAGGCAGCAAGGTGCCCAGGTCCCTTCTGCTGGGCACAGACATGGCAGAAAACCAGAAGCAGATTGCCCAGTTCTCCCGGAAGGATGCCCAGGTAGGGAAGGCGACCAGTGACTGAGCTCCTACTCCCTCAGCAGCCTAAAGATGGGCCTGGTTGGATTGTCCTAGAACAATTGTCCAAAGGTCATGGGCACTGGGCCAGGCCACCTCACATTCCTAGGAGGGCTCCAGCTGGTGGCAGCTCTTGATCTCAGGCACTGCGAAGAGAAGCGGGTGGAGGATGCTGATTAAGACCAATGGACTGGAAGACCCGCACACCTGCGTGTGTTCAATATGGGGCCACTGTCAGAGGGGCTGTGCATGCTGAGTTCAAGAGGAAATGCACCGGCGTGTTCCTACACCGGGAAGTGCTTCATGCCCCTCCAGCTTTCAGACAGAGTTCCGAGTGTTTGTCCACATTAAAGCACATGAAAGCCAGAAAGGAAGATGAGGGACGATCAGAGAAAATTAAGGATAAAATCAACTGAATCAGGAACTTAGGACAAGACAGTTCTAAATATTCATTCAATGTGGCATCCCAAGGCTCCCTCCTGACTGCCCAAGGCAACAAAGTGTCCATGATGGTGTGCAGCTCTGGTGATGGGATGAGCACATGTCGGATGGAGAATGCACTTTTTTTCCCTCGGAACTGCATTCTAGGAACCTGCTGGGTGGCCTTGTCTAGATGAGCCACTGAGTTCCGTAAGGGCCCTGCTACAGTTGGTTCTGTGGACATAGGAAGATTATTTGAATGGCCGTTTTGTACCAAGCGTGGATACAAGCTGAGGTGTAGCATTAAATCATATCTCAGTGGAGACATTTTCATAAGAAGAACCTAGGTTAATAGAACCCATGTACATTGCTTTTCTTGTGTTAATCTATTACTGGGTAAAACTTAGAGAACCACAGATGCACAGCCTATATGTCTCTTCCACCAGCAGTTTTCAAACCTGGCTGATGATCAGAATCACCTGAGAAGCTTAGCCTTTTATTTTGTTATTTTATTTCATTTGTTTTTAAGACAGGGTCTCACTCTGTCACCCAAGCTGGAATGCAGTGGTGCGATCTTGGCTCACTGCAACCTCCGCCTCCCGTGCTCAAGCGATCCTCCTGCCTCAGCCACCTGAGTAGCTGGGATTACCAAGACTTCTCAAATGTATTTTAACATGGAACTTTTCTTTATGTAACACTTATTAAAATGTCATGGGTCTATCCATGGGTAGAGATAGACCAAAATGCAAAGTCCAGGGCTAAGAAGAATCAGGCTTCCCTGGTGGGCACAGGAGCAGTGATAGAAGCCTGTGCTACCGGAGGCAGCGAAGGTGAGTGTCAGAAACTAGGCTTTCGAAAGTGGATTCTGACATGGGAGCTTGTGGGGTGAGAAGAGGCAGTCTTCTGTGACTGCGGGTGATGAGACGGCGTGGGAGACCTACAGACTGGAAAAGAATACAGGCAAAGGTCTAACTTCTACCAGTAATATGTGAGAGGACAGAAGGACAGTCTAGGTGCAGCGGCTCACGCATGTAATCCCAGCACTTTGGGAGGCTGAGGCAGGTGGATCACTTGAGGTCAGAAGTTCGTGACCAGCCTGGCCAACATGGTGAGACTCCATCTCTATAAAACTACAAAAATTAGCTGGGCATGGTGGCACATGCCTATAATCCCAGCTACTCAGGAGGCTGAGGCAGGAGAATCACTTGAACCTGAGAGGCAGAGGTTGCAGTGAGCCGAGATCGCGCCACTGCACTCCAGCCTGGGTGACAGAGCAAGACTCCATCTTGGAGAAAAAAAAAGAAGAAATGACAGAAGGAAGAAACTTCTAAGTGGTTTCATGGTTTATCGCAGAGACCACGCCCTAAGATTCTTGCCAGTTTTCTGTGGGTGACACTTTGTGTTGGCCAGCATTAGCTCCTTGTCCCTGTTGCCACTCCTGGTGGCTCTCCTATCGCCCAGGGTCTCCTGAGCACCCCCACCTCCACCCCATGTACTCTTGTTGGTGTTGATGTTAACCCAGAGACCTGGAACTGGGGGAGCTCAACAGAGCCAAGCCGAGCCACAGCGGGGAATGAGGCCTGAGGAACCATCAAGCTGTGGGGGTGACAGGCCATATGGGGACGGCATGGAGGGAAGGGATATGGATGGTGGGGCCTTGATGCAGAGCTCTGTTCCAGGTCTTTCCCAGATACGAGGAGTTCATGCATCGCTTGGCATTAGCCATTGACCCTCTGCTGGATGCGGCCCCTGTGGACATGGCGGCCTTCCAGCGTGGCTCTCTGCTGCAAAGGATCAAGTCGCTGTCCACCCTCAAGCCCCTGCTGAAGGCAGGTAAGTGCAAGTGCAGGCACCGGGGCATGATGAGTGACCTTCAAGGAGGTGAGCGCATCGTCTCAATGTCTAGACACAAGCCTGAACCTCCATGGCAACCTGCCACCTGGGATCAGTTAACATGCTGTGATCAATTACGGGCAGCCTGGAGCACTTTGTTGAGAGCATCTTAGGCTGATGCGCTTTAAAATAGAGCTTGAGACCAAGGCTTGTGCATGGGTACTTCATTTGGAAGGGTGACCCCAAGGCACAAAAATAGGAGAAAGTGGGGGTGAGAGTGGACAGAGAAAGAGTCAATACCAGAGTGTGTGATCACACTAGCCACACTGTGGGTGACAAGATGCTGGACCTGTGTGGGCCCTCTGGGAAACTTTATGAAATGCATTTGAGGAACCTTCTCGGGAGATGGAAAGGGAAATAGTTATTCATTGGGTTCTATCTCCCATTGCTCAAGGGTTGCCTCACAGGGCATTGTCTCCCACACTTCTGGGCTGTGCGTCTGTGGGTGCCAAGTGGGTTCGCATGAGTGCCCTAGGGAAGAAGTAGAGAGGCTTACTTTTCAGCACTGAAGTGAGATGCTGTGGAGTTGCCTTTGTGAAGCTGATCAAAGCCTGCATGGAGTTTGGCATCATGGTCGTGGCTAGAATAAGATATGGGGGCCAAGAGATTTGAAGTACTGCTCCCATACAGGAAGAATGCTAGATTTGGGCTCAGCAAGGAGAAGTTCTGTGATCAGTTAGTAATGTCTGTCATGAGTATGAGAATGGAAGGCACATCAAGTATGCTATTATTTTCTACCCTCCTTGAGGATATACAGACCAGTTTAGCCTCTATGTCCTAGAAAAAACAAACAAACAGACAAATTGCTTGTTTCCCACATGTCTTCGTGGCTCAGCTGATCTGGTCTGGTCTCAGGCATGTGTTTGTGTCTGCAGCAGCTCAGTGGAGGCAGCTCTGCTCCAGGTACCTCCCGCCCTCCTTGTAGAAGCGCATGCTGATCTGGGCGTGGACTTTTCACATCAGTGGCACAAGCACAGAGGGCATGCCCCAATGTACAGGCCTGTTTCAGGTCTGGCTTTGTGTCACATCTGCAAACATTCCACTGGCTGGCCAAGTCACATGGATGAGCCCAGAGTCAAGGAGCCGGGCAGGTTAACCAAGCTGTGGTGGGTTGGGAGACACTGCAGACTTATACATTGCAAAGAGTGTGGAGCCAGTGGAATCTATTACAAATGCAAAAAGGAGACACTGCCTCTCAGATAACCAGTCCAGGGAGCTTTGTGTGAAAAACAGGAAAAAATCATTTATTGAGCAACTACTATGTGCCAGACACTAAGATAGGCCTGGGTGCTATAAGGCTAGAGACCATGATTTCTATCCTGAAGGTCTTAAAGCCTAGTTACTCTGAAATGATCTGAATCAGGGCTGTAGGAATGGATCAGCCAGGCCACCCACCTCCCAGGATATGGGCCTTCTGGAGTTCAAAATAAGGGAATAAGGTTGAAGTTTAAAATTTTCAAAACATAATGCTAACTGATTAAACATATTAAATGCCTATGAACTTGCAAATGCTTTACCTAGCTCATTTAATGCTCACCTTACCCCTTGGTGTATAAAACAGGATTCCCGTGTTACAGGTAAAGAATCAGGTTCAGAGATGTTAAAAATGTGTCCCAGGCACTGCTAGTGAGAGGTGTGGCCGGAACTCAAGCTGGGTCTGTCTCTGCATTGGCTGTGCTATACCATCTCCCCGAAGGAAGTCTCAGCCTCCTCCAATCTTTTATCCCACAGGCCAGGTCGGAGGGTTTCCCTGTCACCTGTTTCAACTTCTGTTTTGTGGATCTTCTGTTATAGGCCGCATCCTAGGAGCCCAGCTTCCCCAATATTATGAGGTCCTCACAGCTCCCATTACCAAGGTGAGCGGTTCCCCAGCGTCAGGCCCAACCAGGGAGCAAGGGGACCCTCCTCCCATCGAGGCCCCTAAGCCCTTCTCTCTGCTGTTGTGCTGTCCAGGTGCTGGATCAGTGGTTTGAGTCTGAGCCTCTAAAAGCCACTCTGGCCACAGATGCTGTGATTGGAGCCATGGCAAGTCCCTGCACTCCAGGGAGTGGGTGAGTGAGGGGGGTGAGGCGGGACACAGGAATGGGGCATGTTCCCCAACAGGAGTGAGGACAACAGTGGCAGTGGCCGCAGCAACAGCTGCCACTTAACAGAGCTCACCCAGTGAGCCAGGAACGGAGCCAGGCACGTCACACACGATCCATTTAACCCTCAGAGCAACATCTGAGAACTGCGGTTCAGAGAAGGGAGTGTCTTGCCCAAAGCCACTCAAGTGGCCAGGCTGATTTTCAGCTCGAGGTGTCTGACTCCCCAAAATCTTCCTTCTTAGTGACCGTGCCCTACTGCTTCACTAAGAATAGCCTCTCTCCCACCTCCTGCTTGGTATCTCAACATTAATATCTTCTTTTCTCTCCTCTTCCCTTCCCTCTTCCACCTCTCCACTCCCGCAAACACCCATTCTCCCTTCCCTGCCGCCGGTCCTTTCCCTGGGCTCCGGGACACTCACACAGACACCTCGGGCTGGGCAGTGAGCTGCCTTTCTCTTGCTGAGTGCGGGTGTGCGCTGACAGCCCAGTCTGAGAGGTGGCAGGCAGACACAGCGAAGCCTGCAGTGTGGTCTGACTTAATGAGCCCCCACAGAAGCAGGAATGGAGGGTGTGTGTGTGTGTGTGTGTGTGTGTGTGTTGGGATGGAGAATGCCGCCAAGGGTTGGGCCGTTTCCAGTGCACCAGAAGATACAGCTAGAAGCTAGAAGCTAGAAGCTGTCGACGTGGCTTTTCTCTCAAGGGATGAGCACACCCTCGGAAGTGGTTTTTCAACACATATTAAGCCGGCCCCAAATTCCCCCAGGACCATAGAGACGGGGGCTTGGCAGCAGTTGCTACACGTTGGCCAAGCTGTGATCTACCAGCCAATCTGGATCTTCCAGCTGGGGCCTCCTGCCCTTTTCTCTTGGGATCTCTGGGAGGCTCAGCCAGTGCTCAGTTTGTGAAATGTGCCTTTAAGTAATTTGTTCCTTCATTAATTCTTCCAACAAATATGGATGAGCGCTCGCTAGGTGCTGGGGATACGGTAGTGAGTGGAGCAGATGTCCTGATGGGTGAGAGACACAGAGCGAGTGATGATGATGAAGTGGTGTGAGTGTGATGCTAGGAGGTGCAGCCGGGACACAGCCTGGCCTAGGGTCAGAGAAGCCTCCACATGGAAGAGGTATTTGATCTGAGACCCAAAGGACAAAGAGGAGTTAGCGAAACACACGATGAGGGAAGAAGGGACTTCAGGCTGACAGAACAGCAGGGGAAATGCTGGGGTTAGAGAACGTGTGATCCACCCAGGAATCTAGAGGTTCTGTTAGTTAGGAGGATGGCGTACAGAGAGGGACAGGATGAGGGGTGAGGCTGGAGTGCCTGCTAGGAGACTGGCCATTCCCTAAGAGCAGCGCCAAGCCAGGGAGGTTTGGAATGGTGATAAGTGAGTGGCACGAGCACAGCTGGGCTTTAAGATAAGGCTCCAGGATATATGTGGACAAAGACCTGCAGGGGAGAAAGTGTGGGAGAAGGGGTCCGATGAGGGGCACTACTGCAGCAGCATAAGAAAAAGAAGAGAGGCTGAGAGGTGGGGTGGCCTTGCAAGCCCTTTGGAGGCTGAGTTGGCGTTGCTGTGTGGACGTAGATAGGGAAGGATGGTAGCGGTCAAGGCTGACACCTGGTTTCTGTTGGAAACAGAACCTTCTATGGAAAGGTGTCGTTCACTGGAATGGGAAAGATTGAAGGGGAAGCAGCTGCAGAATGGGGAAAAGGTGGTGGGTTTAAGATGCCTACCAAGAAAGCGTCCAAATGGAGATATCTGTGGGTAGTTAGACACAGGAGCTGGAGTTCAGGAGAATGCTGGAGCTGCAGGTTTGGGCATCATTGCCTTCTTTTTGGTAATAAAGCTATGCACATAGACACACTTGCTGGGGAGTCGGTGTAGAGAAGGCAAAGGGCTCTTACAAGAACTTGAGCTCATTAAAGTCTACTGGGAAAGGGCTGGATGGTGGCAGGGAGGGGCTGAAGATCAAGATGGAAAGGAATAGTTGCACCTACAACTCTGGACAGATGAGATCCCACCTCCAGGATCTGAGTCGGATGGTCTGTCCTCAGGTATGTGCTGCTGCATCATGTGATGGGGGGCCTGGAGGGGATGCAGGGGGCCTGGGGCTACGTCCAGGGGGGCATGGGTGCCCTCTCTGATGCCATCGCAAGCTCAGCCACCACCCATGGAGCAAGCATCTTCACTGAAAAGGTGAATGGCCCCTCTACCCCACCCCAATTATTGACAAGGATCCCAGGACAGAACCAAGTCTCAAATTTGGAAGGTCCCTTGTTTTACCGATGAACAGAGGGGCTGTGAGGGGGTGGGTTGCAGAATCAAGAGACTAAGGTCACGCAGCCTGTTAGTGGCTAACCACTCCCTTCGAATTCCCTGGTCACTGAACCCAGGCTGAGTGTTTCATGGAGAAGCCGAGGCTTCATGGAGAAGCTGCAGAACTTGATGGGGTGGGTTTGGGATGAAGAAGTTGTAAATGCCTAGGACCATCACAGACCATGGGAATCCCACAAGATCTAACCTGGGTTTCCCTTCCTGGGGGTTTCTGGTGGGCGCTAGACAGTGGCGAAGGTGCAGGTGAACAGTGAAGGCTGTGTTCAAGGAGTTGTGCTAGAAGATGGCACAGAAGTGAGAAGCAAGGTGGTGCTGTCCAACACATCACCACAGATCACCTTCCTGAAGCTGACACCACAGGTGAGGCTGCGGGCAGGAGGGTGGAGCTTAGATGTCTGCCAAAACAGGGGTTGGAATCCGTGGGGATTGAGGGAGCCAGGATTGCATCAGGGTGTGAGATGCAAAAGCCAAGTGTCTGCATTTGGGAAACAGGCGGGTAAGGGCAGGTAGCAAACAGGGAAGAAGCCTCACAGGTGAGGAGAAGGGGCCAGAGAGGTGAAGTGACCAAGATTCTGGCCACTGGCAGAGCCAGAGCTAGAACACAGGTCTGACTTTCAATCTAGAGTTATTTCCACAACTTTCCTACTTTCCTGATTTCTCCCCTCTCACCAGCTCTAAGTTCATTGTATGTGTCAACTCTCTGTTGTATTATCCATGATTATTAATTAATTTAAAAAAAGAACCACAAAACTTCTGGGCATATAACAAGAAATACTGGCACCCAGAACTGGAGACTTCAGTTGATCTTGGTGGATTTCAGCTGCTCACGGCTGGCTCATGCAACTGCAGTCAGCCGCAAGTCAGCTTGCCGGCTCTGCTGATCTTGGCGGGACTCCTTCATGTTTCTGGGAGCTAGCCGGTGGTGGCTGGTCCAGGTCTGTTTCTGCTGGGATGACCGGAGGGGGAACTCAGCTCTGCCCCATGTGTCTGTCCTCCCCCAGCACAGTAGTCCAGGCATGTTCTCAGGGTCTGGCAAGGGGCAAAAGCAGGCAAGCTCAAGCATGTATGCAAGCATCACGTGGTTTGATCTCTTTGCATCCTGTTTGCTAGCATTGGCCAAAGCAAGTCTCATGGCCAAGCCCAGAGTCAGAGTGTGAGGGCACTGCAAGATTACACAGAAACAGGTGTGCAAACAGGGAGGGGTGAGCTTTGGGGGGCAGTTTTTGCAATTGACTTTCCCTGTGCCCAAAAGATACGATAACATGTATACGTGCACGAAGCTCCCAACCATTCTTGGGGGCAATTCTTAGGGGCAAAGCACTACTTTTTCTGAGTGATTCCATTAATAAAATTCAACAAACATCAGTAAAAAGAAACTTGTTAAGGCAATTCTGAGATCATCAAGGCTTCCAAGAGCTTACACACCAGTAGTGAAAAGAGACCTGCAAACCACTGTCCCCTTTGCAAGCAGGGAGAGGTGTGGACTATTTCACAGTCAGAACTGCTGGCCAAGCGCAGAGGAGGAAGTGGTTAGAGCTGAGTGGGAGGGGATCTAGGAAGGCTTCACAGGGGAGGTGGTTTTGGCTGAGCTTTGAAGGATGAAGAGGATTTCCAGAGGGAGCAACTGAGGGATCTTCCTGAGCAAAGAAAGAAGGCAGCTTCCTTGGGGCCTTGGACGTCTGGGGGCTTTCATGGAGGCTTCTCCTTCCAGGAGTGGCTTCCTAAGGAGTTCCTGGAGAAAATCTCTCAGCTGGACACCCGGTCGCCTGTCACCAAGATCAATGGTAAGAGGCAGACCACATTGCAGCACTGTCTCCTTTGACCCATCTAAGTGAGAAACCTCCAGGCGGGGGGCAGCTGAACTCTGTCATCATCTCCATTCCCTGACCTCCAGTCTGTGTCCCCCTGCAGCCTGGTCAGAAGGTGAAACACTTGCTTGTACTTTCCTACTCCCATCTGCCACTGAGGGTAGCAGGGTGCTGGCTGTAGAGGGAGGACCTTGGGGGGCTAAGACCTGACCCTCCTCTTTGGTCCCTTAGTGGCCATAGACAGGCTGCCCAGCTTCCTAGCAGCCCCCAATGGCCCCAGGGACCAGCCGCTGCCCCATCACCAGTGCTCCATCCACCTGAACTGTGAAGACACCCTCCTCCTTCATCAGGCCTTTGAAGATGCCGTGGACGGCCTGCCTTCCCACAGGTAGGGGTCCTGGACAGAACATCCCCTGATGTTCTTCCACATGGGCCTGGGAGGCGGGGCTGTCCATGCCACACACAGCAGAGATCAGGCCTGGCGTTCAACCTTCACAGTGACTTAGGATCTGCCAAAATCCATACTTAACTTCTAAGGACAGGAAGTGCATCCCAGGTGAAAAATCTGAGGACCAGGGCAGGTAAGGGTGAAGAGCAGCTCAGGTTAGCGGAAGGGGCAGAGGGGCAGAGCACTGCCCGGGAAAGAGCTGGTCCTGGGGAAGAAGAGGAGAAAATGTGTTCTGGGAGAGCAAAGGAGGTTCTTTCATTCAGAGCCTGTCAGGGGACACACACTCACTGAGTCCTCTGCTCCATAGCCTTTCTTTTTCTGATAAGCTGCCTTCTTGCAAAACTTCTAAAAGCATTTCCCACCTCCCACTGCAGCTGTATTTCCATCCTTCCAGAAAACGCAGGGGCGCTATAGGAGCAAGAGCCTTTCCTTCCTGTCCACTGTCCAGCACACACTGTTGAAAACCTACTCAGTGCCCGGCTCTGTGCTAGGTACGGGCTGGGAGAACTAGTGGGGCAGGGGCATGAAACCGACATGAAGCTTATGATAAGACAGGTACACAAATATTTACAGCATGTGGTAAAGAAGATGTGCGCCTGGAGAGAAGGGTATAGGGCAAAGTTCATTCATCCATTTATAAACATTCTGGGGTCTCTACTCTGTGCCAGGCTTGGTTCAGTGACTGGGCACAGATCAGCAAGCAAAGCCAACAAGGTCTCAGGTCGCTGACTTTCTATCCATGAGAGGAAGACAATCAACAAGTAAGCACTGATGATGAGCACTGCAGAGAAAAGTAGGCAGGGAAGGGGAGGAAAGGCTTCTCTGACAACGCGGCACTTGAGCAGAGACCGGAAGGAAGTGAGGATACAGATCTTGTGGGTACCTGGGAAAGAACGCCCAGACAGAGGGAAGGTCAGGGGCAAAGGTCCTGAGGCAGGAGCATGCTGCTGTGTAGGAGGCACAGGGACGAGGCCAGAGTGACTGGAGAGAGAGCACCTGGGAGTGAAGGGTGTCAGATCGTGCTGGGTCTTGTCAACTGTCCTGGCTCTTACTCCAGGAAAGTTTGTGCAGAGCCTGCCTTATACTTTAGAAAGACCAACCTGGACACGGTGTGGAGAAAACGTTAAGGCATCTGTTGCAATGGGTTACTGTTGCAGAATCCAAGTTGGAGTGGACAGTGGCTTGGACAAGGGTGGGGCAGTGGAAGTGATGAGAAGGGACGGAAGACTGGGTATATTTTGAAGGTGAAGCCAACAGGACTTGCTGTTGGACAGGGAGTGGGATGTGGGTAATAAAAAGGAGCAACTGTGAAATGATGCCTCCATTTACTGAAGAGAGGAAGAGGCGGCGGGGGTGGAGCAGGTTTTAGAGGCTAATCAGGCATTGGGGTTTGAACGGGGGATGTTTGAGATCCCTGGTGGACATCCAAGTTCAGCAAAAACATTGCGGCTGAGGGACGCAGGGAGAAGGGGCGTTTCCCGTGGCCTTGAAGGAGACTCATATTTGGAGATCAGAGGGAGAATGTGCTCCAGGTAGAAAAGGTGTGGCAGGCAGAGGTGGTGGGGTGGAAAGCAGGCCACAGCTCTGCTGGGGCTCGGGGCAGCCCTAGCAACTCTGTCTTCCATTGGTCTGCTCTGGAAAAGGCAGTCAGGCCGCTAAAGCCTGGCTGAAATCTGGCTGCCTGGGCGCCTGCTGTCTTAGGCCTGGCCTCTTTCCACACTCCCACTGTCTGTGTGGACCTTGGAGACATTTGCGTTTGGGAGCTGTGGTTAGAGCACAGCGTGTGATGAAGGCAGGCAAGGACAGGCCATGCATTCGGGGGTCTGGGCCAGGTGAGCTCCTCACGGGTGCTCTGGATCACGCTGGCAGCCGCTAAGCCAGTGCAAGTGGACAACCACTGTGGCTGTACAGCGACAGTCGCCCAGGATTGGTGTCATCTCAGGGTCTCCACTGTGTCCCAAGTCATCTCAGAGGCCCTTCGCAACACACTGCTGCTCTTAGACCTGCCGTCTCTCCTCCCTGCCCGCACAGGCCTATGATTGAGCTCTGCATCCCTTCTGCGCTGGACCCCACCCTGGCTCCCTCCGGCTGCCACGTAGTCTCTCTCTTCACTCAGTACACGCCCTACACACTGGCTGGAGGCAAGGCCTGGGACGAGCAGGAGAGAGACGCTTATGCAGACAGAGGTAAAGAGAGCTGCATGTTCTGCATCCAGAGCCACAGCCGGGCTTGCGACCTGACTGGGCCTGCTCCTCTTCACTGCCCCATTCAGGATTGACAGCTGCAGGTGACGTCCCAAAGGGAGGAAATAGTCGAGGGAACCTCAACTCAGCATAGTGAATGACTGCTGGGGTCAGGAACTGGGCTAAGAAAGCCAAGAAAACACAGTTCCTGCCCTCCAGTTGCTCGCAGCCTAGCAAGGGTTGGAGGAGACAAATTAAGAAATCTGTCATTACAGCACAGCTGACTGCATGAACCAAAGGAGAAGCATGAGCCAGAGGGACAAGGAAGGCTTTCAAAGGAAGGGATGGTCAAGCTGGGTTTCCAAGCATGACTAGGAGCTGGCCAGGCAGCAAAGGGCATTCCAAGCAAGAGAAACAGCTTGAGCAGGCCGGGCGTGGGGGCTCATGCCTATAATTCCAGCACTTCAGGAGGCCGAGGCAGGTGGATCACCTGAGGTCAAGAGTTCGAGACAGGCCTGACCAACATGGTGAAACTCCATCACTACGAAAAACACAAAAAAAACAAGCCGTGGGTGGTGGCACATGCCTGTAATCTCAGCTGCCCCGGAGGCTGAGGCAGGAGAATAGTTTGAACCCGGAGGCGGAGGTTGCAGTGAGCTGAGGTCGCACCACTGCACTCCAGCCTAGGTGACAGAGTGAGACTCCGTCTGAAAGAGAGAGAGAGAGAGAAAGAAAGAGCTTGAGGAAAGTGATGGGGTGAAAAAAGCTGCATATGCAAGAGGAGACAAGCAGCTTTGTGTTTAGGGTTGGGGTAGGGAAGTGGGGAAAATTGGGGACTGGACCGGCCTGCCCATGCATCTTTGGGATGAATTATTCATTTGCTTGTGGGCTGATTTTTGTTTTTCACCTATTGAGGTATAATTTGCATATGATAAAATAAACCCATGTCTGTGTGTAATTTAATAACTGTTAGTAAATTTGCCAAGTTGTATCCCCTTAGCGCCTCCTCTTCTTCCTAACACCATCTCATTTCTCTGTTTTTGGCACCCCAGTGTTTGATTGCATCGAGGTCTATGCCCCTGGCTTCAAGGACTCTGTGGTTGGCAGAGACATCCTCACACCACCAGATTTGGAGAGAATCTTCGGGCTTCCTGGAGGGGTGCGTATAAGCCTAGGGGGTCTCTCACCATAGCCTTCCCTCTGCACCCTCACTTCCTGGCTGTGACCTCTCTGCTTTATCTTGTCCCTCCATACTCAGCTTTCATCAGGAAGGGAGGACAGGGGCAGGGACCCTGGCTGAGAGAGGGCAGAGAAGTGGTCAAATTGAGGGAATGGGGGATCCCTAGTAGGGACTCAGAAACACAGGCAGGACAGCCCCCACTGAGAAGGTCACCAGGATTGTGGCCCTCTGCCTTGACAACCATGCTGGCTCTGCCATCTGACTTTCTTCAGAGAGAGCACCCCCTTCTCAAGGCAGCAGCACATCCTCAGACTTCAGTTTATCAAAAACTAGAGATTGGAGACAGCGAGACCAGTTAGGAGGCCAGGCTCAATCGCCTCATTGCAGCTACTGAGCACTTGCAAGAGACCAGCCTAGGGAAGATAGTGAGACCCCATCTCTACAAAAACAAAAAACCAAAAACATCGCCAGGGGTGGTGGTGTGTACCTGTGGTCCCAGCTACCCAGGAAGCTGAAGCAGGAGGATCGCTTGAGCCCGGGAGTTCGAGACTACAGTGAGCTGTGATGTGCCATTACACTTCAGCCTGGGTAACAGAATGAGACCCTATCTCTAAAAAGAAAATTTTAAAAAAAAAGCAAAAGAAAAATCTGAGGCCAAAGTGAGATGTGCTGCAAGTGTAGAATGCACACAGTATAGAAAAAAATATAAAATATCTCATCAATAATTTATATATTGATTATATGTTGAAATTATAATATTTTGGGTATATTATATGTATATAGCTAATAAATATATAGAGATATATGTAGCTAAATAAAATATGTTATTGACATTAAATTCATCAACTGCCCTTCCTTCCTTCCTTCCTTCCTTCCTCCCTCCCTTCTTTACTTCCTCCCTCCCTCCTTCCCTTCCTCCTTCCCTCCTTCCCTCCTTCCCTCCCTCCCTCTCTTCCTCCCTTTCTTTCTTCTAGAGATAGGGTCTTGTTCTATCACCCAGTCTGGAGTACAGTAGTACAATCACAGCTCACTGCAGCCTCGACCTCTGGGGCTCAAGCCATCCATCCTCCCACCTCAGCCTCCTGAGTAGCTAGGACCATAGGCATGCACCACCATACCAGGCTAATTTTTTTTAATTTTAGAGATGGAGTCTCCCTGTGTTGCCTAGGCTGGTCTCAAACTCTGGGGCTCAAGTGATCCTCCCACCTTGGCCTCCCAAAGTGCTGGGATTACAGGCATGAGCCACAACAGGCTCTGCTTTTACTTTTTAAATGTAGTTACTAATAAATCAAAAACTGCATATTAGCTCCCATTACATGTTCACTGAACAGCACTGGTCCGGGTAGAGGAAAGAAGGCCAGGCAGCAAGAAGGAAGGGAATGGCTGGGTAGAGCAGGCATGGGGCGGGCAGACTTGAGAAGCCTTGGTGACGGTGTGCACATGGTGGTCAGGGTGGAGGTGATGTGAAGGGTAGGTGCAGAGGCCAGCGGGAGGAAGGTGGTGTCATTCACTGACGCAGGAGGATGGGGAGGAGCAGACTTGAGGGAAGAGGATGACCTCAGTTTGGGGTAAGGTGAGGAGGGCAGTGGGGGGACACTCCTGTGGTGACGCCCAGCAGACGTCGGGCTTCTTGTCCAGACCTGCCTCCTGAGTCTGACCTTCGCTTGTCCCATGCTGCCTCCCTTCTCAGCCTGGGGCTGGTCTCACCCAAGCCAGGGGGACAGAACTGTGCTCGGCTCCATTGCCTCTTGTCTGCCATTCACAGTGATCCTGCTGGAACCTGGACGCCAGGGTCCGGGCTCAGGTGGATGCCTTGGTCACAGAAGGAAGTTCTCGCAGAGACACATGCCAGCAGCCACAATAAGTCAGATGATTCTGCTTTTCCAGCAGAGCGAGAGGGATACAGAGTAGATAGCAAAACCCTCTTTTCTTTCCTGTTCAGTTCCTGTTCCCCACCCTGCTTTCTTCCTCAAAAGGCCTCTGGAAAACTTCACTCCCAGCCCCAGGGCATGTGCCTGTTCCATCTCATCTCCTTCCCTTTCTGCATTTTAAGAACCCAAGAAAATATCCCGGAAGGAGAAGAACTTTTGCTGGAGAACAGGGGAGGGGAAGAAACCCTGCCAGGACAGGAAAGGCTGTAACGCTCCCGTGCTAATGGCTGTGGCCCTGCCTCTGCAGAACATATTCCACTGTGCCATGTCCCTGGACCAGCTCTACTTTGCCCGTCCTGTGCCCCTGCATTCTGGCTACCGCTGCCCTCTCCAGGGCCTGTATCTCTGTGGAAGTGGGGCTCATCCTGGTGAGTGACCTGGAGTCCCACTACCCTGCGGGGACTGGGAGGGCTCACTGGAGGCCAGAGACTTGGAGAAGGAGGAAGAAGATAAACAATGAAGGCGGCAGAGAGGGAGGGGAGCAGGGAACTCCCACCATAAGAAGCCGCCTTGTGTTCAGAATTCTCCATGCACAGGTGAGCACCCAGCTGCTGCCTCCACCAGGCTGACCACAGCCCACAGTCGAGCTCACACCTCCCCTTCAGGAGGCCTGGGGATGCGTCCTGGTGGAGGCATCTCACCACATTCCAATGCGGGCTTGTGAGAGACCCATGGCCCTAAATTCCCCATCCATATATATATTTAGACGGGGTTTCACTCTATTGCCCAGGCTGGAGTGCAGTGGTATGATCACAGCTCACTGCAGCCTCAACCTCCTGGGCTCAAGTGATCCTCCTGCCTCGACCTCTGGCATAGTTGGGACTACAGGTGTGTGCCACCATGCCTGGCTAATTTTTTATTCTTTTGTAAAGATGGGTTTTGTTACGTTGCCCAGGCTGGTCTCGAACTCCCGAGCTGAAGTGATCCTCCCCACTCAGCTTCCCAAAGTGCTGGGATTAGAGGCCTCCATCCATATTTTAGACCAGAAAGGATGGATAAAGTTAACTTCTTCAACTTCACAATTCTTTCTTGTGCGCATTCCAAGCCTAAGGAGCTGGCTGAGGCTGTCATTTGCTATGCACACCTTCTCTGAGCTGTGTGGACTTGGTCCCCCTGGAAAGAGTCTGTGCTTCCACATCTCCTCCCTCCCCCCAGCCCCTTATTCTGAAATTTTAACTTTGCTTACTAAGCATCTGCCCATCCAGCGGGTCCACCCTCAGCTATTGAGGCTGTGGGCTGTGGACCTGGCCCCTTCCCAGACCTTTGGTGCAGGAAGCCTGGAGGGAGCCAGGATCTATTGAATGTCTGTCCTAGGCGATTCCAGTGCCCACACCCCCGCACCCCTCTAAGCAGCCCCACTCTGCTTTGTTGCTGGATCTCTGTAAGCCCCGCCCCCCGCCCCCCACCCTGGCGGGTTTTTGAGCAGAGCTTTGGTTCATAGGAGATTCCCTTCCAGGAGGAGGTGTGATGGGAGCTGCTGGGCGAAATGCAGCACATGCGGCCTTTAGGGACCTCAAGAGCAAGTGACCCCGAATCAGCTCTGACCCAGGAAGAAGACTTCACCCCTCAATTCCAAGCGCTCCATTGGGTCAGCTTCCCGGGAAGCTCAGCTTCGCGTTAGTACTTAATGCCACCAAGTCCTCAATGCTCAAGCTATTATTTTAGAAAAAATGTACGAGTTACATTTAGTGCAAGTTAACCTTATGCCCGTGCCTCCATACACGGACTGGTTCTGTTTTATTAAAACTAATATTTCATACAGATTACTTGCTCATGTTTTTTCTCTGTGTTAGTTGGTGGGATAGACTTGTCTGGTGTACTCATAATTCTTACATCAGCTAAGAAGCAGTCCATTTGAAGGCCAGGCATGGTGACTCGTGCCTGTAATCCCAGCACTTCAGGAAGTTGAGGCAGGCAAATCACTTTGAGATCAGAAATTCAAGACCAGCCTGGCCAACATGGTGAAACCTCATCTCTACTAAAAATACAAAAATTAGCCAGGCGTGGTGGCAGGTGCCTGTAATCCCAGCTACTTGGAAGGCTGAGGCAAGAGAATCACTTGAACCCAGGAGGTAGAGGTTGCAATGAGCCGAGATTGCACCACTGCACTCCAGCCTGGGCGACAGAGACTCCATCTCAACACAAAAACAAAAACAAAACAAAAAACAAAAACAAAACAAAACAAAAAGAACAGTCCATCTAACCAGTGGAAGAGTCTGATCTAAGCATCCCCCTGTCCTTGGCTGGGACCCCCACCACCACCAACTGGAGGACTGCCCAGGTGGAGCCCAGTCAACTGCTGTCACATTCCTGGCAAACAATAAGAATGGACCCAATTTCCCCATGATCCATAGAGTCACCCACAGGGGCCATGGGCCTGAACAAAGCTTGGCATCTCAAGCCACAGAATCTTCCAGTCAGGCAAAAAGCAGTCAAGGGTGACTGCAAGGTGGATTCCACTGAGGCTGTCTGGGAGCCCATTCTTCCTGATTCCAGAGCATTCAGCCTTCTGCCTCCCATGAGCTAAGTCTGTTGTGTCACCAACACCTTTCAATATAAACCTCTATAATCCTAAAGTGAGTTGAATTGTCACTCTTGTCCAGGAAAATCCATCCAAAGTTCCCGTGGTAATGCAGCCCTCCCAGCCAACTTCTCCAGTTCCGGCAGCCAAGGCCACAGTCCAAGCCGTCCCATCTGCAGATGAGGCAGGATCTTCCCTGGGAAAGCTTCCCTTCCTCCGTTTCCTGGGCAAATTTATACAGATTCAAATAGATCCACCTCATTACTTAATGTTGGTAAACTAAGATTTCTCAGTTGTTTTAAAGCTCACATCAGACAACAGGTCATGCTTCCCTCCAGGATCTGGCACACGATAAGCATTCGGTACATGGTGGAGCTGCTGCTGTGGCTTTTGTTGGTGAAGATATTTTTGTCATTTTTGTATTCTGCAGAAGGTGGTTTTCTCTATATACTTTTTAACCTGGAACCCAGAATTGAAACTAGACCCCTAGAAGCATTGTGCAGGACAGTGCAGAACCATGTTTGGGTCCCCAAGCTTTTTCCAAAGTAGCCAAGCCCCATCCCTCATTCAGCATCAGTACCATCAACTTCTTGAGCTTGTTGAAAATTTGTTGGCCGGGCGTGGTGGCTCACGCCTGTAATCCCAGCACTTTGGGAGGCCGAGGCAGGCAGATCACAGGGTCAGGAGATCGAGACCATCCTGGCTAACACAGTGAAACCCCGTCTCTACTAAAAATACAAAAAATTAGCCGGGTGTGGTGGCAGGCGCCTGTAGTCCCAGCTACTTGGGAGGCTGAGGCAGGAGAATGGCATGAACCCGGGACACAGAGGTTGCAGTGAGCCGAGATCGCGCCACTGCACTCCAGCCTGGGCAACAAAGCGAGACTCTGTCTAAAAAAAAGAAAATTTGTTTTTGGTCAATATTGCTGGTTTTCTGGAAGGAAAGAAGGAAGACAGAAAGAATGAGAGAAAAAATGAAAGAGAAAAAGGGAGAGAGGAAGAAAGAAACGAAAATGAAAGAGAAGAAGGAAGAAAGTGAGGGAAGAAGGAAGGAGAAAGGGAGGGAGAGAGGGAGAAATGAACATAGAAAATCTTCAAAGGCCTGGGGAAGCTCACATCAGACTTAGTCTTTAGAAGTAATAATGATTTTTGGCCAGGTGCAGTGGCTCACATCTGTAATCCTAGCACTTTGGGAGGCCGAGGTGGGTGGATCACAAGGTCAGGGGCTCGAGACCATCCTGGCTTACATGATGAAACCCTGTCTCTACCAAAAATTCAAAAAAAAATTAGCTGGATGTGGTGGCACACACCTGTAATCTCAGCTGCTCTGGAGGCTGAGGCAGGAGAATTGCTTGAACCCAGGAGGCGGAGGTTGCAGTGAGCTGAGATCACACCACTGCACTCCAGCCTGGGTGACAGAAAGAGACTCTGTCTCAAAAAAAAAAAATTTTTTTTAATTATTTTATTTTATTTTTGATAAACAAAAGCCACGAGTGCCTAATGTAGGAAATGTTTAAAATATAATAAGAGAAAAACATAAAATGCACACATAATTTTTCCTGCAGAGATAATCGCAGTTCCCGTTTTACAATATTTTCAGGTAGTCTTTCAGGTCATTGGTATTCCGTGTTCTATATGTGGGCTTTACATCTTTCCTTCACTTCACTTCATGTCATAAGCAGTTTTCGGTGCCATAAAAATTCTTTGAAAACATTATTTTTAATAGCTGCCTAATATTCTCTTGTAAGGATGTGTCAAAATTTATTATGGGACATTGGGTTCAGCTTTGGCCTTGATTGCTAATTAGTACAAGCCAAAGGCCTGAAAGCTTCTTTTATCGCCGCTGTTCCCGTTTTAATGGTTCCCTATCATTTCTGGGATCACAAGGGTGCAGCTGTTCTCCAGGCAAACGTTCCCTCTAAAGGAGGAGGAACGTGGAGGAGGCCAGGGAGAGAGGGGAAAAGGCACTTTTAGCACTAAGAGGAAGAATTTCCCACTGTTTGGTGACTTCCCATTCTGTGTCTCATGTCTCTGAAAGATGGCATTTGGTCCAGACCAAGAGACAAGATAAGGCCTCAGCACCACAGGGTGCGTTGGTTCCTCGAAGCCCCCAGCACATGCCGTCCCGCTGAGCAAGGCGGGCTGGTCTTACCTAAAGTGCTGACTCTGCAAATCAGCTATGAGCTGGGCAAATCTGTCCCTTGCTGGCCCTAGTATGTAAAACCTATAGAAGGATAAATAAGGCAGGGCCTCATTGTTACCTGATTTACAATTGCCCGTTTTCCCAAAGCAGCAGGGAACACTTCCTTCGAGGCACAGTCCTGTAAACCCCTGAAGTGCACTGGAACCTCAGCTGGTTAAGTCGTTACCAGCGGGCTCTCCTGATCTCACAGCCCCTGGGTGATGGTGTCCAGAGATTCAGTGAGATGTGAGGTTTACAGCTCTGGGAGGAATTTGGCTTTCCTGGTGGGAGGAATGACAGATGTGGCTGACCAAGCCGACTGTGGGCCTTGTGAGCGTGCATCTTCCTAACATATGTTCGATTTGCAAGGCAGGTGACAGTCGCCAAGTTCTTCTGTGGGACCTTCGTAATGCTCCTACCCTGACGTCTGGAATGAGGGGGAAGAGACCTGCTGAGCACAGGATGTCATTCTGCGGGGGAGTGGAGACACATGACATGAGAAAAAGGAATGCAAAATGCAAAGCAAGGAGAAACGCAAATGGACAGCAAACCTGAAAAAATATTTAAACTCACCAGGAATCCGTTACATGCAATGAAAACCAAACGATCATGCTTTACCTATAAAATTGAGAAAAAATATTTGTACAGAAAATTACTGGTGTGGGTAAAAAAGACACTCTTCTCTGCCGTTGACAGCAGCAGACATTTGTATTTGATAACGAGACTCGAAAGCCAATATCTGTGTGCTTTGTGGGTTATTCCGCATCTTATCACTGCGCCGAAGGAAAATATCAGAAATGTCCCTGAGGATTTAGGTAGAAGGATAGTCATGCAGTATTGTTTGCAATGGCAAAATACTGGAAACAGGCTAAATGTCCCAAAATAGAGAATTAGTTAAATTAATCATGGTAACTGCACGTGATAGAATATCAATAACTTTAAAAGTTACATTTTTGAACCTACTTTTATCACATGGAAAAATATGCTAATAAAAAGTAAGATATAATGGGACCTGAGTTTTGTTGATAGGTGATAGATGGATAGATGGATCTCTCATATATATATGTAAATATACATTATATATACTAACTATATAAAACATACCCACACAGAGAAAGACAGAGACAGAGAGAAAGACAGAGATGGAGAGACAGAAACAGAGAGACAAATGGGAAAGAACAAAGTATACCCCAAAGTACAGGCTACTAGCAGAAGGCTGAAGTCTTTCTGAGCACTTGGCAGCAGCTTGGAAAATGTTCCTCACTACCTTCATAGAACCTATCTTAGCATAAGAACCAGCCCAAAGTAAATGGATAGGACTTTGAATCTTTGTTTAAAAATGATGGCCTGGGCCTGGTCCAAATGGTGTGTGAATGGCTTATGCATTGATAGATATTGATTGGCCATAAGTCAGAGCACTTCAGACCTGGTCTGGGTCTAAGAGATCCTCAGTGGAGGTGTGGGGTCTTCAGTCACCTAAAGTCCCTGCAACATCACAAAGGGAAAGAGTGGCATCTTCTCCGTGTTTCCACAGCCCAACAGAAATCCTGTGTTCTTGTAAGGAGGTGACCGAGGTGAACCTGAGCCTGAACTTTCTCTGGTTTTATCTGGAATTAGTCAATGCTGTTATGTAGGTTGTCAGACCAGCAGCTCTGCAGCTGGCTGGATGTGTCTTTGACTAATAAGAGAATCACGAGAGGAATTAAATGAGACTAAGCAAAGGCCATTTGATTGGTATACAGAAGTCTTCAAGACAATGTGTCTCTTAAGAAAAAAAAAAAAAAGAAGGTTGTCAACAGTGAAAAGATAGGTGAAACCTACACTTTCTGCACTGCAGCTGTCGGCTTTCCCTTCTGTCTGATCTTTCAGGACCCATGGAGAAAGTGTAGATCTGACCCAGAAGGCTGTCGTGTATAAAGGGGATGATGATGCCTCCCACAGAGGGATGTGAGGATTGTATATACATAAACACAGCTCACCAAAATATGCACACTGTGTGACCCAGCACACCCACTCCCAGGTATACTCAGCAGAAATGCTTACTGGTGTTCACTGAAAGAT